TGAGTTGCCGCCATGTGATTGGCTGATTAGAAATTAAGTGTTAACGAGCAGTTGGACAGGTGTACCTAATAAAGTGGCCGGTGAGTGTATATTGACATATTGCATATATTCCTGACATTGAACAGTAAATGTAAGCATAAAGCTTGTAGTGTAACTTTAATGACTTGCTTGTGCTTTAGATTTGGTATAATATGGACTATATTCTCCACAGTTTAACTTAGCCTTAAAATATGTGTTATTTAGACCCAAAATAATTTAAACTTGTTGTGAAACTACACAGAGTAAAATCTTGGTTTTTGTATTTTTAAAGCTCTTCAGTTAGTGGAAGCATTGCAGGCTCAGATATTCCACCTAATCACTTTGAGAAGCTCTTTGATTGCTTTGGCATTGGTTGCTAACAATTTGGCTGCATCCTGCTCGGGAGCTTTCTAAAGCTTCCCTGGTCATCAACACAGGCTTCTTCTTCGTATTCTAGCGGGTTCTTGAGTGTTTTCTAGTTTTGATGTCCTCACTGAGGCCACACACAGCTGCCCTTTTGAAGCACTGTAATTTGGGCTCAAGAGGAAATATACGCTTTATCACCCATTTATTTTAAAATTATAAAGAGTGAAAATATAATAGACTTAAAGCTTGAGCTTCTCACACAACATTTTTATTTCATTTGATGAATCACGGAGCATAAAAGGAACATAAAGGTAGCTGTCTAGATTGTAGAACACAGAGACAAAGATCCATGAGTTTTCTTTTCACTGAGCTGTGGCACTTTGTTTTCGTGTTGACGCCACATTTGTTTGTTTTTGCAACAAATCCAAGATGTCTCCTGGCTGCACATGAGTGTCACTTTGACAGCAKCTCTCGTCTGTCTTTCACACAGAGTTGAACTAACATCTGTTTGTCTGTTCGTTGCGTTTGTGAGCAAGATTTTAATTTTTTTTTCTCACTGACGTGACATTGTCGGAAAAAAAAGCACATGCACAGCTGTTCTGCCCTCACTCCAGAAGGCAGAAGACCGAGCCAAATTCGCTTCTTCGAGGCTTAAAGAATCCAGCTACATCTCAAGCCTGAACTCTGTCATGGACCTTCAGTTTTTAATCTGTTCTTTTAAAGAAGAGGCAGGCCGGTTTCTGCAGTATGTTTGTGTAAATAAGCTTGCATTATACAGAAAAACAAAGGCATACACTGAAAGCATATTCAATCAAATGGGAAACAGATTATGTGCTTGGTTGGACATGGAGAATTAAGTTCACTTCGAGGTTGGCTGGTTAATATGGGTCAGAGGTGATAATCTGATTAAAATGCAGCAACAGAGTTGGTTGATTGACTATAGACAGTAACGCGGTGGTGTGGGTGGGGGCTGGGTTTTTCTGGGAATGACATTGGTCGTCATCGTAAGAGACAATAACCAAACGTGACTTCTGGCTCTCGTTTATAAAATGCTCTTTAATGCCAATCGAAATGTAATCAGAGAGCTGACACATTTTATTTTTACTATTTAAATAATGTATTTCCTAAAAGCAAGAAAATGTATAATTTTGAGTCATTTTATCCCATTTATAAATTGTATGTACCACATCATGGATAATTAGTGCTGTCAGCAGGCTCATGTTAGTTGCTGCTTTTTGCCACTCTTGTCAGGAAAAGAAGATGTTCAGTGAGTTAACGTAATTATTTCATTCACACTCTGCTGTTGCTCAGAGAATAACTTTAATTAGCTTTAAATTTTCAACACTTTTGCACAATAAAGACCCCCAGTTTCCTTATTAGAGTCATTCAGTTTCTATTAAGGATAGTTAGGTAAAACTGATAAAGGTAATTCAGACCTAAATCTTTAAATCTTAAACCTGCAATTTTCAATAGTCATGTACCCTACATTACAGCAGAGGCATGTAGACTGGAGAAACTAATGTTGTCGGTCAGTTTAAGTGAAGCGGTGTTCTGAGCMAATGGGTGAAACTGATCTAATGTGTCACTATAACGCGCTGAATTGATGTGATGTGCGCCGGCTTTGAAACAAGAACATAACTTGGTTAGAACCAAGTGGATATTTTCAGCCTTCAGGACATCGTCGAGTCAGATGGAGTTAAAGCCTGCCGCGCCAGGGCAGGTGCTGTCTTAGCTGTCCTCCTGCTGTGCCAGCTGGTAACTATTTCTCCGACAACTAAACTTTGCCACGTTTCGTTTAAAGTTTCACGGAAGCGTGTGATGTGTGACGCATTCAAACTTGGAACTTTCAGTCCAATTTTTTATTTTGGTTTCTGTTCTAAATGGGTGAAACGAGTTATTCTACTTTGTCCKGTTTCTTTTTGTTAATTTTGTAATTTACTGTCAAGCTGTTAGCCATGCAGCTGCTGAAATAATACCCTTTAGAGTTAAAAACTTATCCTTTAAACTGGCTACAAATAAAACAAACCACAAGCAATTAAAATAMTTCCTCTTGAATGTGCAGGTATCAAAGGCTAAATATAATTGCTGTGAGCTCACTTTCATGTGTCYGACTTGGCTTTAGCCTTATTTTATTACTCTGCATCAAAAGTTCTCAGGACTTCCTGTTAATTATCAAATYGAATCAGGAATAATGTGAACATAAAATCTAAGACGTTAGTAAAGCAATTCCTTTTGACGTCCTGCAGTAAAAGACATTTCCCTCTTTCTTTACAGATCATGAAGGAAGTTTGTCGAGCTTTGGGTAAYGCAGCTGCTGATGATAGCAAGTTGTTACTGCTCAGTTCTGTGGGGACTGTTTTCTGCAGTGGTCTGGAGCCATCCTACCTGATAGGCCGTCTGAGCACTGACCGCAGGAAAGAGAGCAGCCGCATCGCGGATGCTGTACGGTAAGCAAGAAAAGAAAAGAAAAGAAAAGAAAGCATTCTATTGTAAACCATAACTGTATTTTTGACATGAAATTATTCTCAGCCAAACCAGCACAGATCTTTCGATCCTCTCTTTAGGGACTTTGTGTTGGCATTTATCCACTTTAAGAAACCCATTGTGGTGGCAATAAATGGGCCGGCTCTGGGTTTGGGGGCTTCAATCCTCCCTCTGTGTGATGTCGTGTGGGCAAGTGAGCGGGCCTGGTTCCAAACGCCATGTGCAGCCCTCCACCTCACCCCCTCTGGATGCTCCTCTTACACCTTCCCACAGATTCTGGGGGTAGCTCTGGTGGGTCAAAAAAAACAATCTCTTGTTTTTGCTGTTCCTATAATCTGATTTGATTCTTCTTGTAATCATCTGAATAAGCCATCTGTACCCAAATAAAGGATTAGGGATTCACGTCAAACTGAAAAACCCATCCTTTCATTCTAGGCCAATGAAATGCTGTTCTGTGGAAGAAAACTAACAGCGCAGGAAGCGTGCAGTCGAGGCTTAGTGTCACAGGTCTTCTGGCCAACTACATTTAACCAAGAGGTGATGCTGCGGGTGAAGGAAATGGCATCCTGYAGTGCAGTGGTAGGTCCTGATCTAATCAGCCCAGAGGGCATAACAAATGAATTCTAACCAAATGAGCCTTTCTACTCTGTGTGTTTTTGTTCYAAAGGTTTTAGAGGAGTCCAAATGCTTAGTGAGGAGCATCCTCATACCAGTTCTAGAAGAAGTGAATCAGAAGGAGTGTCAGATGCTGAAGCAGCTGTGGTGTTCAACCAAAGGACTGGAGGCACTCTTTAGTTATTTGCAGAATAARACCCATGAAAAGTAATAATTCACACCCAGGAGGGTGAAAGATCATCTGAGGCTTCCTGCAGAAGGACGTCCAGAATGACGATGCTGTGATTTCACTGAGGCTTCTGTTTTCACCCATAAGTCAGGATGATTTTCTGTAGTTCTGTTTGCTTACATCTCTAAACAAACAAAAAAAGGGGTATTTACCAACATTTTTTGTAACAAAGCATTTTATTGGATCCTATCTGTCCTATTGTCTATTTTCTGTAGTTAAGGAGCAAAGAGCCACAAAGAGGGACGGGGTGGTTCTGCACTATGAAATATTCTATCTGACTGCACATAATAGAATCATAATATATATTAATATATACATATTTAWTTTAAGGTTAGAAATGCATTATTTTCTGTGGATGAGATTCATTGTTATTTTGCTCATTTATGGTTTTGAGTTACAGTTTAAACCAAACTGTTTTGTGAAGTCTGTTTTCTGCTCTTTGATGTGCACATTCACTCCTCTGTCTAAACTAAACAAAAAAACCATATGACTGTAAAAGAACTCAGTACAATCAAATTCAAATTACCTTAAAGGGGACATATCATGCAACATCCACTTCTTTAGCTGTTAAATACATTTTGTCGTGTACTTAAGAGTCTAGGAGTGTAGAAAAGTTTTATTTAGTCTCTTCCAGTGCTGAGTAGAAATCTTTTATTGAGTCCTATTTTTCAACCCACTCAGTTTTCTCTGATGTTTTCCTAACTATTATGTCACAGGATTTGTGATGGAACTGTCAAATAAGGTCTAGACTTACCAACTACATTTGTCATTTTCATTCTCCTCTAGCTTTGGGTCAGACTCTGACTCCTTCATGTAAGGCTTGATGGACAAATGTTCTGACATCTTTTAATTAATTAATTAATGACTACAATTTCATTGTCTTCATTCTCCTCTGGCTCTGGCTCCAACATGTAAGGCTGGATAGGCAAGTCTTCCGTTGTTGACATTTTTAATAAATATGTAAATAAAGTTTCCACGCCATTAGATAGTCGTATTTCTGCTATGAAACTACAGTAATCTGCYCTGAAAGCTGAGTGGGGTGTCTCGTTTGGATTTAAAGAGTGAACTTCACAAGTTGATCTGAGATGCACCTCAGAAAATGGGTGAAAGAGGGGATTGTGGAGYTACAATACAGAGGAATTTAGATCAAAATGTTGCAGTTCCACTTTATAAAGACCCCAACTGAATGATTTAAACGTGAAAAAGAAGGATTTAAAAGCAGGATATGTCTCCTTTAAAGAAAATACAAATTTTATTTTGTGCTCTGAATGTATTACACGGGTTTATTTCTTTGTGACTTTATTATAGTTATAAACACCAAACTTCTACCATTGTATGAAATTGAATCAAGAATAAAGCCATCTGAGGATTTTTATTAAAACCAAGAAAAGCCGTTCACATAATGTGAAGGTTTAACTGTGTCTTTTTTTTTTTTGTTTTGTTTTTTGTTTTTCATCTGCAACAAAACAGGTTTTTTTTTAAATAATACTCCATTTTTTTATGGAAACACAAAGTCTTAAGTAAAAGCTGGTTTTAAATATCAAAGGGAAAAAAATGTATTTACCTACATTACAAAAAATGCTTCTCTCCGAGCTGTAATGGTCCATTAGTGTTACTTTGCTGTTATCAGTGAAGAAGGTCCCTGTGTGAATTGTGTTTACTTGAAGAAAGTAAATCAAAATATTTTGTTGCTTGGCTTTTATTATGTTGTGATATTTGGAGGTTTGTAAATAAGATTCATTAATATTAGAATAGCCTCAAATGTCAGGAAAAAAAGTGGAAAAATAAATATAATATGTCCCTCAAGTCAAACTTTATATTTTTGCATGTGATGATTCAAGATTTCAGGAAGTTGTATATTTTGCAATGTGTATTATATGTAGGGATTTATTTTGTTTTACCAAAGTGTACATGTATGTAGGTCCACTTTTTGTAACTAATTGCATGTAACATAATGTAAAAAAAAGTGTTGCCCGTCTGAATACCTTGCGTTTTAGGGTTGTAAGTATACTGGCAGAAATGTTGCGGTTTATTTTTGTATTTATTTAATTTATTTTAGCTAATAGTTCAGTGTCATATGGCTTTCTTTGGCTTCAGAAGCTCTGCTTTCTACTAGTCATTTTTTTAATCCCCACTGAAAGATGTTTGGATGGATACAATCAGTCAAGAAAGAAAAAATATATAATATAAACAGTTCATGTTTGAATGTTTACTCTTTATGTCACAATTTCATTGTGATTTATCAAAGGCATGTTGAATATTTATCATCTGTTATGTTTTATTAAGCTTTAGAGGTTTGAAAATGTGGATAAATTTGTTTAATTTTAAAGATGAAAATTTATTTTTCGCTCTGTGCTACTTAATGGTCAGATTTTTTTTTTCTCTTTTTGTTGACTGCAGGGTACGATTAATGGTTTCATTGAGCTTTTATAGGTATTGCTATACCAAGCTAAACAACAAAACAACAAAACAGTAAATTTATATTTTTAATCAAACTTGAAAATCAATTTCAGAACAGAGTTTCATTTCACAAAATCTAAATGGTCATTCTGATTAGGGAATGAATTCACACTTGATAATTTTAAGATGTTTAGAATTGTATCTTATTTGTCAGGGAAATGTCTTCCTGTTCACTTTAGTTGTAAAATTTTACATGGGATAGAAATGTAATGCTTTTATTTATTTATTTTTAGTATTTGTCCTTCCCAAATCTTAATTCCCATGATTTTGGCATGCATGTCTTGATGAYACACCTTCAAATATATCAGTTCTTATTATTTATTTTTAATCAAAGTTCCTTGAAAAATGTTTCTATGTCTACTTTTAAATTGTCTTATTGGCTTTATGTGTATTTCATCTCTGTTTCTTTTCACCCAATATTGTCTAAAAGCACACCTTGATGTGCCTTCAAAATATCTGTCAAAAACTAATCCATGCATTGTGATGGTTAGAGTGAGCTGCTGAAATAAAGATAGGTCATTTTACTAAATGTTTTTTTCTGTTTTTATTTTCATATAATGTATCTAATAACTGGTTTTATTCTGGTACAATTTAGATCCAGAGAAGGAGCAACTTTATTCTGTGACTCTTTCAGAAAACTATACCCCATTTGTTTGGCAAGTCGGGCAACATAAACAGTTGACAACCACACATCAGATATTACAGACCATGTGAGTGGTTAACAAGCAAAGATCTGACATGTTCAYGGTACAAATGAGTGACAACACATTCAAGTGGAAATTGCTGAAAGCATGTCCAGCRGTTAAAYGAYGYTTTTACTGCATTTTTAAAYGATGCAAATGGAACAAAGGTTTGCAGCTGGTTCCAGTCATTAGCAACAGAAAACTGAAAAGTTGAATGGCCAAAGGAGGTGCGTGCTTTAATGTRGCTGTTGGAGCAGAGGGTACAAATATTGTTATCCACAGACTGTGGAGTGAGCTCAGACAGAAAGTCACTTGTTGGCAGTCTCACTAGTCCTACTGCGAATTACCTTGAGGGTTGAAATGTGTTTACTGGAACTRGTTTTACTTCTAGTTTTGCTTTTCAACTCAACTTTCCACAACATATCACCAGTAAAACGTCTGCATCATCAGAAGCTGCAGCGACCGACCGGTCATTCTCCTGTTGCCTCTACCCTCTACTTGTGATCAGACCCCATGAAAATAAGAGGCTACATTTTACAGGCCTCAACTCTTTGTATAAATAAAAGCAACTCACTGCCAACTCTCCTGGCTGAAAACTATGGTCCCGTTTCAAAGCTCAGTTCCTACTTCRTCATGTTGGAGAGGTTTGAGTGCCTTCAGGGAACCAGAGTTATGTTGTCGGTGGTATATAGGAGTACACCACTGGTGGATTTTCAAGGCAAACTGGTTCTGGTTGAGGAACAAGACCAAAAACAATTCAGCAACCATGGATCATAGAKTCTGACTCCTGGAGCTTAAAACAGCTTGTTGGTAAGCAGCCCTTTGCTTGCAAGGTTCAACTGGGAAAATCCCAAACAAACTTCATGAAATTACTCCCTGCAAGTTAAAGCATCAACAGAGAAAAACTGACAGTAATATTTAGCATTCTCAAAACCCAAATAAGTAGCAAATGTTTCTTCTTTCAGTTTAACTTTTAAATCACATTGAATTTTTGTTTCCTCAAAGTTCCACACTTTAATACTAATTTATTCTTTGTGTTTCTATCTTCAAAGCTCTCTTTGAAAATCCACTAAAACTAAAGTTCTGCTACAAGTACCTCAAAACAAAGATGTTAGCTAGTTTGTCTCTGACTGGAAGACGTAAGATTTAATAATCTTTAGACTTTTAAGTAGGGATGTGGATAAATTTTTAATCCTAAACCAATTTTAAATCTGACAGCGGATTCCAAAAGAACATTTCAAACCATACAAAAT